TTACAGAGGAATAGATATCAGCTTTTCAAAGCTTTCTGTATTATGACCAAGAGAATGTGTGCTTTTGGACCAAGTGACCACTACTTTTGTACCAAGTGTCAAACTATTGATTTCTGCAAAGGCTCCACAACTGTTGGAGGTGACTCCTCTTACCTGCCATCACTGCCTAGCTGCTGTTCTTTGCGATTTGGCTCTTCCAAAAGGCCATCTTGGAGTGCATGACGTATTCGAAGACAAGCTCTCCACCCTGAACGATGTGCTTCAAAGTAGTTTTGACTTGCATGTGATCATGATTGATGAGATCCAATACAAGCAACAGACATTGACTGACAGATCAATATTGCAGACCTTGGTCAATAGCAATGAATCTTTGAACTAATTTTGTGAAATACTTGCAGCTCTTAAAAGGCATGATTTCATTGGAAAGCATAATTTTGCAAACAAGTACAAACAATAAAATAATCCCATTAACAGGCTGAATATGTCATCCTTGGTGATTTTTCTGAAAATTACTCTTTTGTTCTTCAGGATGTTGCACAATGATTTAATGTGACCAGTGGTATATTTTCATCCAACTGTCTGCTACTAAAATATGACTGTCTTTTTGAACATTGTGCTTCTTTCAAGTTTTTTTTATTTCTCACATTGACCCACATCTGATTAAAACAACTGTAAAATCTCCATTCATCTGTATCATTATGAAGGGGATTTTGGAATCCGGGCAGAGTGAATTTCTTTGCAACATCTCATGGATTAAATGATTCCCAGGAACCACAAAAACACTGTAGCAAACCCAAGTATTCAGTATTCAGCAGCCTTGTCACTACCAAATCATGACACCAGAACATCTATTTCTTGAAAAGAGAACATACCCCTACTATACATAGCATTCATGTACTCCACAGTGAAAGAATGAGAAGATGAATGTGGTATGTTAACAGAGAGATTCAGTTGAACTACATCACTCAAAAGCAACATGCACTGGGCACAGCTTTAAAAATCAATCTGCGTGAAGACATAGTCAAATAACTTAGACTTTCAAAAATAATAGTTGACTGAGAAATGGTTAACTTTTGAAGGTATCCAGGACTTTATCAACATAGAATATGACTGAAAATGTTGGTTTGGCTATGCTGGACGTTTTCCAAAACACATCCTCCCTCCAGCAGGACCTGCTCACTCGATCTCATATCCTAGAATTGTTAATATGATTCTGATATCTAGGTACTATGTTTTGACAGTTGCAGAGCCTTTAACAGTAGCAGAAAGAATACTTTAAGTCAGAAGTCGACATGTATTAAGTCTCACAGATATTATACAATTGGACAACAGAACCCAAAGGAGAATCTACTGGATGAGACCTTTTTGTGCAAAGACATATTTTGGCTTTAGGTAATGGATGTCAAATGCTTATTAGTGTATTCAGAACCACACTCGTTTTTGTTGCGTTTTCTTAAATGTTGACCCTCTGCCATAATATTGTTGGTCATACTTTACATATTAAACTACCAAAGGTCCCACTTTGTAATCGTCAGTGATAATACATTAGAGTCAGTTGAATACTGTATCTCATACCAAAAAGTATAAAACAACCCAATTGTGTCTTTTTGAAAGGATCATATTCTGATTCTGAGGATGGCAGGTAGTCAAGAATCTGAGATTAACTACTGTACACTCCCTAGAACACTGGCAGAATCCACTAGATCAAGTGGTGATTTAAAACCAGGAATCTGAAACTTCCAGGGAGAGAAGTGAACTCTGTGTAGGATGACAACAGCAGGACAGAAAAGAGGACCCTGTGCGGGACAGTGTATGGATCCTGTGTGTGTCAGTGGATGGACCTTGTGTAGGATGATGACCGCAGGGCAGAACAGAGATCCCTGTAAGGCAGTGAATGTGGGATCACATTCTGTGTGAAACAATGGGTTTTTGGGAACAGACCCTGTCTAGGCAAGTAACGGCACATACATTTTCATTTGGTAGTCTTTGTTCTGAGAAGCCGGTAAGCAATTCAAGTGGCCTGCAATTGATAGAGGAATTGAAGAAGTCTAACCAGTAGCTCAAAGAAAAGCCTACACTTTTGTTTTGGTACTGGCTGTTCTGTGTTCCTACACTGTAAATAAAAAGCACTTTTTGTAACTTTTTGTAAATGTCTGCATTTGTGTCTGTTTTCCTGCGACCTGCCTATCCAAATATTGATATATATATATATGACATTCCAACTTCCAGGTGGGTCATAATATCTTAAATACCGTATATGAAAAATTAGTATTCATTGGTTCTTCAACCTGAAAGACAATTTGGAAATGCAAAGAGTTTTGACATTGCACCAAGGCTGTGGCTGTCGCAACTGTAGATTGGAAGTTACAATGTCTTTGAAGACAAATGAAAAACTACCTGAATATTGGTGTGAAAGGTTTTGTTTCGAATCCCCTCTCCACACAACAAATGTATGCAATGTTCAGGAATATTTGGTATGGTCATGCCAACATTAGTTTGCTTTTGCACCCACATCATAAGAACTTCAGAAACGTACCAAAGGAGAGGAGTCCATTCAGCCCATTTAGCCCATTTGATTGCAATAGTTAATTCTTCTAAGGATCTCATCCAGCCATTTCATGAAAGAAGGTGGCATATCAAATTCAACAGCCTGATAAAGTCATTTGTTCCAGACCCCTACCTGCAGACAGCTGGGTTCCACCTAGGATGTATTTCTGTATTTCATGTATATTATGTGACATTGGCTAGAGGAAAAAAAAACGTTCCGAGACCTACATGTATACAGAAATACCGAAGTTTCTTCTATTAATGAGATGGGCTTTAATGCACTGGAGTGGAATTGTCATACTGTAATAAAAACGCCATGTTAAGAGGCTTCCTGTGCTATTGATACTGATGATACAATGACATTACTTGGCAGAGCTATAAAAGAAGCTGTCTTGAACTGATTGCAAATTGTTTTTTAATGTGATAAAAAATACAACACTGTAGAAGAGCTGAATGCAAAATAACGGCAACATAAACGTTTTACCACTATACACTTCCCTGGAGGTAAGTGAGATAGACAGCCAGAAGAAAACGAGAGGCACTGATTCTATTTGTATTTAAAATCACAGGATGCTGTCACTTTCCTATTTCATTACATAGAATTATCCAGTGTAGAAGCTTCACATCACTTATTTGTGAATGCAACAGAAAAATGTACTCAACATCTCCATCTTACGAATTAAAGAAAGAAGAAGTAGGCTAATAATGCAAATGACATAGTTATTTAGAAAGAAGTTTTTGAAAGACTTATTTTGATAATGCTGTCTGTCATTCTTGTTTTGTTGTCTCCACTGGTGTTAGGAACTTACATGGTAATGTATGCAGGAGAGTGAGTTTGACATTGCAGCCAGTGAATATTCTTGCTTTGCTTAGGGTAAACTCCTAACAGCAAACTATTTTTTTTGGCACTTTTGAATACAGACTGACCTAATTACTGAAGAATATTTTAGCTGTCAGCATGTCTTTAACAAATGGTTCAGAGTTAACTGTTTAGTGTTTTTATTTTCTCTTTAGTGTTCTCTTCTGACAATTTAATATTGGTAGCAAACAGAAGTCTGTACAATATCTGGTTGAGATACAATTTAATACTTGATTTCTAACAGAAATCACAATAGTATCGTGAATAATAATTTGTTTCATTTGCCAGCAAGCTATTATTATTAGTGCCTGCATACAGATTCCACATGGTCCTCTTACTATATAACCTTTTATTAGTTTAATTACTTCAAGTCAATAAGGACTGCAGGTCAAAGAGAGGGCAAATGATTTGTTTAAGTGGTCAGCGAGTTCTGTCCTTAGGGTTATTAGGTTCTGTGTTGGTCTTTTGGTCTCACGTGCATTCTGCATACAGTAGGTGTATGATCCACTAATGCATTTCTTTATATTTTTGTTTCTGATGAGGATACTCTTGTTACTTCTTAAATTTTTGTTTGCAAGAATAATATGTTTTCTAAAGTATTATTCACCAACATGTCACCACTAATGCAAAGAAAATTCACCATTAATGTTATTATGTTTACAACTCTATTTTTAATGTTAGTAGCAATAACCAAAACTGTCTCTTTGAAAGCTGATCTGCAGTATTATAAGAATAAGGAACAAATAATAGGTTTATTCCATGCTGAAAAGAGAAGAAAGAAAACACAACGTTTCGGCCGTGGAGCCTTCTTCAGGTGTGAGAAAGACAGGGCACCACCTGAAGTCTGGTCCTCACACCTGAAGAAGGCTCCACGGCCGAAACGTTGTGTTTTCTTTCTTCTCTTTTCAGCAGGAATAAACCTATTACTTGTCCCTTTGCAGCCTACGCATGATGACACAGCTACCCACCTGAACTATTGTAAGAATAATATCACTAGTTAGAATTCTGAGCATTCATCATCACTTTCCCTTCATGAATTCCCTTTAAACTACTATTGTTTTCTTTCAACTACTGTATAATTTTCTTTAAACTACTGTGTATTTTTTTTGTAAAATGTATTAGGAGGAATTAAAATTATTGTATTAGGATGTTTGAGAGATATGCATTGATTTTTTCCTGTGTGTTAACTGGTATTAGCAAATCAGTGATTTGAAAACGGGCCTGATTAGAATTAGAATCAGTAAATATAATCTAACCATGTGTTTAGGAAATTAATTTACCCTCTCTGCAAAGGTGAAAGGGTTTTCTGTCTTTACTCCATGTGGAGATACAAAATCTGCTCCAGAAATAAAAGTGTTAATTTCTTTTGTCATCTCACCCACTCTGTGACTACATCATTTTAATTATTGTACAGTTTGATATGATTATGATATTGATTTGTTTGATTATGATATTTGTCTGATTAGGATGTTGTGATATCCCTATTAATCACTGTACTGTTTGGAAGCTTTAACAAAAACTTGCTTTTAAAAGTGGCTGAAGATAGATATATAAACAATGTTAATCTATTATACGTTTTCTGTTTCCTTTTCAGGAAATGGCTCAAATGGGAGGTTTTGGGCGAAGGTATATCAAAGCCTTTGTTAGTGGCTTCTTCATTGCTGTGCCTGTCACTGTGACTGTGTTAGACCGCCTTGCTTATGTGGCACGGGTGGAAGGGGCGTCAATGCAGGTAAGATTTCTCTCCCTTCCTTTGTGACATGTGCAGGACAATTTCTTCCTGTGGCCATTGTTGTCTTGCATTTAGGCAGAAACAGATAACAGAAACAGATAAAAATGTGCATTATAGGAAATTAATATATCCATTAACATTCTTTCCATTTGTAGCACAGATAATTTAACATTTCAAGTTTCCAAGGCTTTTTAAAGGCTTTATTCTTAACTTTATTAGACGTTAACACTATGGTAAGAATAATATCTACCAACTGTGTTGATAAAATCAAAATTCATGAAACCTGAAAAAGTGTTTACTTCCATGTAAGATGCAGACATGCAAAGATTGAAAGCCCTATGGTTAATGTTTCCCACTTAATTATCTAGCTTTCACAATTTAAAGATGTAAAAAACATGCATCTCATACCCTTGCTAAGATTAAATGTCCTTAGCATAGCTTGTGGCATGTGCAAGATATATCTTTAAGTGTAATGGGAGCTTTAGAATTTTAATTACAATTCAGTCTGATCTTTTTAAAACTTATTCCCAAATTGCATACAAATCTGAAGGTGACTTAGTTCCCTTAAAATCTTTATTTATTGTAGATCTTTACTACAGAGACATGGTTCAGAAGCTAATAATCTTCACACAGGAAAATTTAGAACTTGTATCTGCTTACTCCTTTCTGTGTACATATAATATTAAAGGGCTAAAGTAAATCACTGTACCAGAACATTCTTTCCCTTCTGTGAGTGATTTATTATGCACATCTTTAGAAGAAAGGCTGTATAGTCTTGGAGAATTTTGAGGGGAAACAGCATGAAGTCCTTAAGACAGCATATCGTACTACCTGCTGGCATGTGGTTGTCAATATGGCTTCAAGTGTTCGTTGTTGGGTTCTTGAGAATTTGATTCATAGTACACTTCTGAAAATGAAACTTATATCATGCCACTTCACGCTGAGCAGAAAATTAAATCTTTGGTATGACAGAAGCACAAGCAGGCTGCAGTGTTACCCTAAATGCTCTTTTTTGTCTTATGACTGGTAGGTAGAACTCATTACTAATTTTTCATCCAGAATCACAGCTGTTTCGACACTGTGTGAGGGATCTTTGAGGTTGGAATTTATCATTCATCATTCTGCATGGATCAAAAGATAATTGCTTTCCATTTTGCCACTGTTGATGACAACAGTTACTATTATTACTGGATCATGCTGATCTGGAATTTTGGGTACTGGTTTCAACTATATTTTAGACAGCCTGTGTCAGTTAACATGACATGAGTCTACAGATGGTAGCTTTTTATTGTAATGGTATTTTTATGTCTCTCTGAGTATCTTTTGATAAAATAGTGGAGTGCATGTACATTTTTGTGCCTCATACAGCACAGTTAAGCTTTAGAAAGTTTTCATTTTCTTTGTATTTTGTATTGTTTAATTTACAGTGTTTCCTGCATACTGCATTACATTATAAAGAAAACACATGGACACTTTCCTAACTGCATACATTTACTGTACCGAGATAGTTTTTGTTTATTGCACAAGGTTCTGCATTGTTGCCTTAAAGTGTTAAAAACATTTTCTAGATCATTCTGTTTTTATAATCACTCAAGATTTGGTAAACAATCTTGAAAATATCAGAAAAATTTTACAACAATGATTGGTCTTTGTAATAACTGAAATATAGAAATATACCAGCTTTATGGATTATACATATCTAATGTTCAGAAAAGGCACTATTACTTATGTGTACCTGGAATGGTCTTATGTAAAAGACCTTAAGTGATGTTTTTTAATCGATTTTGTTAGGAAACACATGTGTCCTAGCTAGAAAAACAATTTAAATGTTTTATTACAGCAACTAAATATTGAATTAAAAAACGTTTTAGACATTTTGAATTTTTTTTGTCTGGCATTATTCATTTCATAGGTGAATGTAAAGTCATCCCATTGTAGTACTGCAGTACTTTTTAACCTTTTATTTTCCCAATATGCTTAGTCTTAACTATAGAGTTACGGTCCGTAACTGCTCTTACGAAACATGCTGTGAAAGGCAACAGATATCAGTAATTCTATCATCTGCATTTTTTTAAAAGTGTGCAAATATATAGACTGAATGTAAAGATGCTACCTGGAGTGCATTCAAGAGATGGACTCTACTGACACTGCTTGTCAGTAATGCAACAAGTTGAACAATGATCTCACTTTTGATGTTGATCCTCATAAATATTCAGATTACTATCTTAGGAGGAAGCCAAGCAACACATACATTGCAGTAAAGATATGCAATTTCCAAGTAATCAGTAATAACACCTTTTCGCATTCTCTCCTACAGTACGTTCACCAAACAGGTGTTGTTTATTCCTTCAGCAGCGAGCTGAAGTTTAGCTGTTAATTAACCTCTGGAATGATAAAAAACATGTTCATTTCCGAATAGATTACTTCTCAGCTGCAAACTGTTGTTCAAGGCTTAGAACAGAGACTGAGTGTTTTCTCAAAAGAGAAATTTAAATTGATTTTGTAAATCAATAAATAAAATATAGGCTATGTGTGTATTTTATTTAAAATATCTGACTTGACATACTTTGTGTTTCCAGTAAATGTTTTTACTGTGTACACTGGTACAATATGGCTGACTTAAACATAATATTGTGAAAGATGGGTCACAGAACAGGATTTTGTTTTAATTTAATTTTTGTGGCATATGCACTGCATAAACTGTACATTTACTGATATTTGAAAGATTTCTCTATAATTCTGGGTATTGAACCTTGATTTATTTTTATAATTGTTGTGTAATGTTTTCTGACAGCAAGATATGACATCTAATTTTACAGACCATAATTCATCACTTTTTTCATCCTGAAACAGACATTAATTTTTCAGTTAATTATTTATTCACATATTGGCTCAGGAAGGACTATCTATTTTGCATCTTGCCCTATAGGCTATATCTTATATCCAGTAGCCTCATACTATTGATTGTAGCTAACAGACACAACTAAAAGGGAAAACGTAGTCTGGTCAGTTTAAAACCATGTTTTTTTATAGGAAAACTAATTGTCAGTGCTCCTATGCTGTTGCCATGGAAACCTGTCTGGAAGAAGTTGTGTAGAAATTATAGTGACAGTAAATATGCTTCTGGCTTCTTAAATTTCATCACTCTAGGATTCATTTATATAAGCAAAAAATTATTATAAAACAATGAAACAAATATCTAAACAACTTTTTACAAGCAGTAGACATGCTTGCGTTATTATTTCAAGAAATAAATCAACAAGAATATGTGTCAAGTTTTCTTCCACAGCATACCTGGCCTTTTCGTTTTTAGGGTAATGTAATAGGAACAGTTCACTTCTAAAGGTCAGATATAGGGCTACCTGTGCTTTGATCATGCAACACTGGAACTAAACATGTTTAGGAGGCTATAAAACAAATGTGAGACAACAAATTGTAATCCCTGTCTCTCTCTTTCATCCTAGCCTTAATCCTGCATCAGCAGGGTCCGCTTGTCGGCACACCCGTCTCCATTTGGTGGTTTGAACCAAATCTTTGAGCTGACGTTGCCATTAAATGCGACTCCAACCGGCGCGTCGCTCTGCCTGCCGTCGGAGGGGTGGAGAGAACAAAGTAATGTCGCTAATTCATAGAGGGGGATTATTAGGAGGCATGGGAATTTTGGCCAGGACTCCGAGGTTACACCCCTACTCTTTTCGAGAAACACCCTGGGATTTTTAATGACACAGAGAGTCAAGACCTCGGTTTTACATCTCATCCAAAAGACGGCGCTTGTTTACAGTATAGTGTCCCCGTCACTATACTGGGGCATTAGGACCCACATGGACCGCAGGGTGAGCGCCCCCTGCTGGCCCCACTAACACCTCTTCCAGCAGCAACCTTAGTTTTTCCCAGGAGGTCTCACATCCAGGTACTGACCAGGCTCACACCTGCTTAGCTTCAGTAGGTTGCCAATTGTAAGTTGCAGAGTTACATGGCTGCTGGCTCAAATTGTAATCCCTGTAACATTTGTATTTTATCTTGTATGTAACTTATTGGCAAAGATATTTGCATGTCATCTGAATCCTATTGAAATGTACTGGTAGGATCAGAAAATGCATGTCCTGAACTATTTTAGTATACAAGGATGTATTAATGAAGTATTGTTTTCATGAAACTTTATTTACAGAAATTCACCCTCACAACCCGACATGTCAAAGTCTGACAGAAGTATCTAATTGGCAATTTTCCCAAAGACTCCATATACCTGAGTGTCTAGTTTGCTTAACCTATTTTTTAGAATTGGTATGAAGTCTGGTCTGGAAGAATATCTTGCTTCTACAAACAGAAATATAATGGAGTTTAGATCATAATTCTCAGGAGGAACTAACTAAAAAGCCTGTCTATCAATTTTACAGTAACTGGTTTGTGGTACTCAAGTAGGTCAAAGTCAAGGACTTTATCTACGAGATTGCTTCGTCTAAATTTAAATGAACAGCTGTTTCTGGAAAAGCAGCAAACTGGAGAAATCCAGATTTGTGGTTTTGTAACTGTGAAACTGTTATAAAGGAACTGATCTGGCTAGGATGCCCAATTTAAAGTTTTTTTGAAAATCTGTTATCTCAGAAATTTGAAGGTGAAATTATATGGATATTTACAACCCTGTACCTTGCCAATAAGGTAGAAGTGAGCCTAATACTTTTTTCTTGGATTTTGGACATGTAGAATAGTTAAAAGGGTTAAAACAACTGGCCTTTGTTAAATGTACTCTGTACAGCTGGAATGCTTGCCCATAGCACTCTGGACACTTTCCAACAGATACATATTAAAAGACTACAGGCCCAAAAGAGACTAATCATACTCTTTCTGGATGCCTGGTGTTAAGCTGTTTAAGTACATTACCTACAAGAATAGGCAGTACTTTAGAGATAAAGCACTCATCCATCTATTTGGTAAACAAGCATAAAAAATGTAATTCATATGTATGGCATTGTTTATTTGTTCCATTTTACTGTTTTGCA